CACCACACACACCACACACCACACACACCACACACACCACACACACCACACACTCCACACACACCACACACTCACCACACACTCACCACACACACCACACACCACACACACACCACACACACCACACACACACCACACACACCACACACACACACCACACACACACACCACACACACACACACCACACACACACACCACACACACACACACCACACACACACACCACACACCACACACACACACTCACCACACACACACCACACACCACACACACACACACCACACACACACACACACACACCACACACACACACCACACACACACACACCACACACACACACACTCACCACACACACAAACTCACCACACACACACCACACACCACACACACACCACACACCACACACCACACACACCACACACACTACACACACCACACACACACTCACCACACACACACACCACACACACACCACACACACCACACACTCACCACACACACACCACACACACACCACACACACCACACACACACCACACACACCACACACCTGGAGCCATCACGGAACATGAAGTCGAGGACGAGGAAGAGCGCTGCAAGCAGAACCTGCGAGGGTGCGGAGACGACCGGCATGGCGACGCTCACCGCCCGACCCCCGTCACGCCCTCTGCCCGCCACAGTCTCCTCCTTCTCCAGCACGCGCGCCAGGCTACGCTACACGCACACACGTGTACACAATACACACACACATAGTACACACACACAGTACACACATGTATACACACACATAGTACACACACTCAGTACATACACATGTACACACACACACATAGTACACACACACGTACACACACACATAGTACACACACTCAGTACATACACATGTACACACACACATAGTACACACACTCAGTACAACAACAACAACCGCCATTCGCCACTAAGTGGCGGAGACGTCACCACGACGCTTGTGCCAGGCCATGTGCACCGTGAGGCCACGTGAAGTGTCGAACGCCCGCTGGCAGGAGGTCATGGGGCAGACCCAGGTGCCACGGGTCGACTGACTGAAATGACTGGCTGATGCACCACCTGTCCCCCCAACTATGCAAACCCTCAGTACATACACATGTACACACACACGTACACACACACATAGTACACACACTCAGTACATACACATGTACACACACACATAGTACACACACTCAGTACATACACATGTACATACACACATAGTACACACTCAGTACATACACATGTACACACACACATAGTACACACACTCAGTACATACACATGTACACACACACATAGTACACACTCAGTACATACACATGTACACACACACGTACACACATAGTACACACACTCAGTACATACACATGTACACACACACACACACGTACACACAATAGACTGTTGGGGCAAGTGCCGCAAGGAGCGAGCAGCAGCAGCAGCAGCACTGCCTACGGAGGGCGACACGTCCACGTCCACGTCCACGCGACGCGGTGCGGTGGCCAGCGCCACGCCCGGCCGCCCTTCTTCCTCGATGTTCACGCAGAGCGCCGGGTACTCATTTGAGGCCGAGTCGACGTAGGGGAGGCCCACGACCGGTTAGGATGTTGGCCGTGAGCGGCAATCGAACTCCGGCAGCCGGATTCGTTCGCCGCAGATTGCAGCGCGCTGACCGAGACGCTACCGCTCCCCACGCTATACAATAAAAATACAAAGACAGAGATCCCCCGTGCAGCCTACAAAGACTGTTAAAGAAATTGCACCTGTGGAGGCCAGCAACAATGCATTTCTCTATATGCAAATGCGGTCGTGTTCTCCTGTAACGCGGCGGTAGCGTTTGCGTTCCTGAAGAACACCGCGTGTTGGACAAATCGCGTCGTAATAAACACATCTAACGTCGGGGTAAATCTCAGTCCGCGACAGCACCGTGAGATGCGCACGCGTGCCGAACAAAGGGACCGAGACGCGTGGGCAGAAGGCTTCTGGACGTATCCAGCAACATCCCAACTTCCTCGTGCCACGCCACGCCGAGGGAGCCGCACGACCGCTCGGTCCCCGCTCGCGCTGCGACGCAGTTCCGTCCGCCCGACACGCGTTACACACACACACACACACGTCACACACACACACACACGCGTCACACACACACACACGTCACACACACGCGTCTCACACACACACACACACGTCACACACACACACACGTCACACACACACACGTCACACACACACACGCGTCACACACACACACGTCACACACACACGTCACACACACACACGTCACACACACACACGTCACACACACAAAGCGTCACACACACACACGCGTCAAACACACACACGCGCGCGCGTCTCGCACGCACCCAAATCTCGCCCGTGTCCTATCGCAACACCCAAATCGGCGCGTCACGAAGAGCACCGCACGTCACGTGAGGACAGAACGGCAGGTCCCTTCGCCGTCGCCGCGCAGCGCGAGGTGCTGGGGGAAGGGGGCACCTTGAGCTCGGGGAAGGTGTGAGCGGTGACGCCCCAGGCGTGCAGCACCTCCAGCATCTCGCGGCCGCTCAGCTTAAGGCAGTCCATCTCAAAGTCGTGGTGTTTCAACAGGTGAGTGCTCTGCGTCATCCACCTGCGAGGCGGGGGACGAAACCGAGGGGGAGATCGTTCCCTCACCACGCCCTCACCATCCCCGTACGGCCTTTAACACACTGCTCGGTGGGCAAGTGCTGTTAGCGAGCACCTGTTTAGGCCGGCAAGGCACACGGGTGGCGGGGGGGGGGTGGCCCCGTGATGTGTGCACAGTGCGCCAGGTACTCGTTTATAACCGAGTCGACATAGGGGAGGCCAAGGACCGGTTCGGATATTCACCACCGGTGTTTGCCGTAAGCCAGCTGACCAGGCCGACCGGGTCGTCCCGACTGACCCGGTTGGCCCAGCTGACTCAGATGATCCGAGGTGACCAGCCTGACTCGCCCAACCCGCCTGCGCCGAGGTGGTGACCCCGGATCGGTGACCTTGGTGGGTGACCGAGATGGGTGACCCGGGTTGGTGACCTTGGTGGGTGACCCCGGATCGGTGACCTTGGTGGGTGACCGAGATGGGTGACCCGGGTTGGTGACCTTGGTGGGTGACCCCGGATCGGTGACCTTGGTGGGTGACCGAGATGGGTGACCCGGGTTGGTGACCTTGGTGGGTGACCCTGCTGGCGACCCGGGTGGTGATCCGGGTGTCTGACCCAGGGCGAGCGACCCAGCGGCGGTGGCGGTGCGTGCGTGTGTGTGTGCGTGTGTGTGTGTGCATGTGTGTGTGTGTGCGTGTGTGTGTGTGTGTGTGCATGTGTGTGTGTGCGTGCATGTGTGTGTGTGCGTGTGTGTGTGTGCATGTGTGTGTGTGTGCGTGTGTGTGTGTGTGTGTGCATGTGTGTGTGTGCGTGCATGTGTGTGTGTGCGTGTGTGTGTGCGTGCGTGCGTGCGTGCGTGTGTGCGTGTGTGTGTGTGTGCGTGCATGTGTGTGTGTGTGTGCGTGTGTGTGTGTGTGTGTGCGTGCGCGCACCGGTCCAGGCTGATGCACACGGCCTGGAGCCGCGTGTGCTCGTCAGGCCGCACCCCGGCGGCGGCGAGGGAGCCGGCCTCGTCGCGGGCACGGCGAAGTGCACCCTGCGGCACGCTGGCGCTGGCGGCCTCGCGCGCGGCGTCCTCCATGTTGTGAGCCTCGTCCAGCACCACCACCTGGTCCCGCACGCTAATCTCCATCTGCTCGCGTGGGTGACGGGGGGTGACGGGGGTGACGGGGGTGAGAGGGGTGAGGCAAGTGCTGTTAGCGAGCGCCTTTGAAGGCCGGCACGGCACACGAGTGGGTGGGTGGCCAGCACCACGCCCGGCCGCCTTTGTCTCCCCAGTGGCGATGTTTACTACACACCGCACGTGGTGAGGCTGAGTCGACCTAGGGATGGCATGTGCTGTAAACGAGCAGCACCTACGAAGGCCGGCACGGGTACACGAGTGGGTGGGTGGCCAGCACAACGCCCAATCCGCCTCACAAAGAGTCACACACATACACACACAGATCTGTTGTAAACCCCCTGCGAGTGAGCAAAATACAAGAGCAGGTCTCGAATTGCCCCTGCGACTCACGCTCTGCCGTATCTGCGGGTCGATGAGGTAGTTGTAGGGGCAGAAGACGATGTCGGCCTCCTCCATGAGCTCGCGAGCGGAGAAGTACGGGCAGGCCCCGACGCGCCGGCCAGCCCTCACCAGGTCCTCCACGTCCCACGCGGACGCCAGCCCCAGCGACGGCAGCGCCGCCTGGCATCCCAGCTTGTAGACGTTGCGGAAGAACAAGCACGTGGCACCCTGCACGGGTTGGGGCACCAGGTAGGAGTGAGTGCAGCAGAAAGGGATTCTCACAGCATCTCGTCATCTATAGATGCACCACAGGCTCATGCAGGATCAGGTCGCATGCAGGATCAGGTCGCATGCAGGATCAGGTCGCATGCAGGATCAGGTCGCATGCAGGATCAGGTCGCATGCAGGATCAGGTCACATGCAGGCCTTATTCAGCCACAATCAGCACGGTTGGCTACGTGCAGTGCGAAAGAAGTTGAACGTACTCAAACCCCACCCCCCCCCAACTCCCCCACGCCCCCACCCCCCGCCCCCACCCCCCGCCCCGAGCCCCCCCCCCCACGGCCACTCACGTCCTTGTTGTCCAGCAGCTCCCTGCAGGCCTCATTGCGTCCGTGCGGCAAGGCCGCCACGACGGGGTGCACGCACGTGTGCTCGCGGCTCGACAGCACCGTCATGCGCACGCCCGCGTACGCCGTGCGCCGCAGCTCGCGCGCCACCTGCGTGATCTGCCGGTGCGTGCGTGTGCCGAAGAAGATCTTGGGCGGCCGCGTCGGTCGCCGCACGACCCCGCCGCCCTCCGGGCCGCCGCAGCGGCCGCTCGACCCCGGGGCCCCCGCCGGCGCTCCCGGCGAGCCGCAGCCGCAGCAGGCGGCGCCGCACGGCTGCGAGCGGTGTGGGGGGCGGAGGGGGGGGGGGGGGGGCATGGAGCACGTGTGCCCACGCACACACAAAGACAAAGATCCCCCGTGTAGCTTTGACTAGACTGTTGGGGCAAGTGCTGTTAGCGAGCACCTGTGAAGGCCGGAACGGCGCACGAGGAGGTGTGTGGCCAGCACCACGCCCGACCGCCTTTGTCTCCCCAGTGGCGATGTTTACTACACACCGCACCAGGTAATCATTTTGAGGCTGAGTCGACCTAGGGCAAGCCCATGGCCCGTTCAGATAATCGTCACTGCTGTTGGCCGTGAGCGGGAATGGAACCCGGGTCACCGGGTTAATAACGCAGCGCGCTAACCGCTGCACCACCACTCCCCACGTGAACACTCACACACACACGCAGGGTGACTGTGGTAATGGAAGTGGCGGTGACGACAGTTTTAACGGTCGACGTCACAGTAACTGTGGTTGTCACGACGGCGGTGGAGATGTATGCATGCTGAACTTCTTTCACACCGTACGTAGCTAACCGGGCTGAGAGGCGACGGTGTGCGGTGCGCGTCTGACAATGACGATGGTGATAGTGACGGACGACAGGTGACAGGTGACAGGTGACAGGGTAACGGGTGACGGGTAAAGGGTGACGGGTAACGGGTGACGGGTGATGACCACGGTGACGTCAGCGAACGTTTGTGAGAGCACTCACGGCGTTGCCGACGGGGCTCCACGCGGGGATTTGACCGTTCTGTTTCAGGGTGACGAGAGGCCTCGGGCGACCAACACCGCCTGCCTTGTCACCAGCACCACCAGCGCCATCATCGCTAACGCCACCACTGTCGTCCTCGTAATGCACGCCCTTGGGAATGCCTCTTTTCATCTGCTGACCAAGAAACAACGACGTCACCCGACCAGCCGGCTCACGTCCAACACCTATTACCCGGCACGAGTTGTCACAGCGGAGGGAGCCGCGGTGGCTAGGAGATGTTAACTCAGCTCGCCTGCTATGCAGGAAGTTGTGGGTTTGATCCCAACCCTGACACAAATGCTAGCTCAACGAAGTGGGGGCTTATCGCGTGGATATTTATCACAGCCAAATACTCTAAACGCGTGGTGATGTCGATTCTAAACGTGGAGGGGAAAACCGGAGGACCCAGAGAAAAATCCACGTGACCAAGGGGAGAGAGAGAGAGAGAGAGAAAGAGACGCAAACTCCAAATATACAGCAGCAGGCGTCAGGGTCAGGATTTAACCCAAGACCTCCTGTATACCAGGCAATGGAGTTAATATCCAGCCACCGAGGCACCCAATTCTAACTCTTAATAAAGACTGAGTAAAACCGTAATCTTAATTCAAAAACTTAACCTTAACCCTGGTCCTAACACTCTTTCTAAGCTGAACTTTGCCCATAACCCGAACCCAGACGACTCCTAACCCCGACCGTTGCATTTGCGGTAACGCCGAAGCCACGCGTGACCGGGCCGTACCACCAGCGCCTTGCCGTGGGGGGTCCTGTTCCGCCGTTTCTCCACCTGGAAATCATCGTCATCCCCTTTGTCACCGCCGTCCGCGGGAGACCCCCGCTTGCCAGGGCGACTCATCCCCGGGGCCGCTGGGACACAAACACGGGTGGGGGCAGGACGGTGGTGGCAGGGTTAGCGCGATGATATTGTTGGGAGTTCGAATTTGCGTTAAAATCTGAATGACATGGCTTTGAAAAAAAAAAATTATCGGGGAAATGCCCGGCTTCGTGACATCACGTTGTGACGCGCGCGTACACACACCGTCAACATAAAACTAAACTGGTTATAAAAAGCAGGGGGGGTAGAGAGATGGGGAGCGGAGACGCGGAGACCCCCCCCCCCCGCTGCCCCAAACCAGACAGGGCCCCACGAAAAGGGATAAGGGTAGGGTTCATAGTCAGAGGAAGGGGAGGGAGTCGGGGAGAGGGAGTTATCATTACATGCAGGATTAATGATACGGTAAATGTACGTACGTATGTAACTTTAACGTCTTTCGCGACGTTACGTAGCCAACCGTGCTCATCGGAGGTGAAGGATATGGTTCGAGTTAGGGGTCGAGGTTTAGAGTTCGAGTTCATGTTGTGGTGAATACTTTTGATAAAATTATCTAAATGGCTCTCTAAATAAAATGAACGCTGAACCCGCTCGCGCGTTCCGGGATTAGGCGGTGATGGGGACCGAAACCCTGCAACGTGCAGGCGTCTCGGAACGGGTCAACGAAGCTTCGAGCCGGCGTCGGACGGTCAGTGATACACGCAGCGCGGTACCACTCGAGTCGAGCCGTTGTTCGTGCGTCTCGCGTCTTGCGTGTGGTTCGTGTGTTCGTGTCTTCCCTTGACGCACGGACGGGGAGACACGGCCCCACCCACCTGACAGGAAGTACGGCGACGCGAGGGGGGAGCCCACCGCCGGGGTCACGGGGGGGGTCAGAGTCGAGGAGACGGGGGAGCCGCCGTTGCCCGGGAGGGCGGCCTCGCGCGCACGGCAGCTCGTGCCGAAGTACGGGGAGCGGCTCCCGGGCTCGGCCTCGGCAGCGGAGGGGGCAGCGGAGGGGGCAGCGGAGGGGGCAGCGCCCGCCTGGGCGCCGGGCGCCGAGTGGCAGGAGCAGTCGCAGGGCCCCCCACCGCACGGGGCGGGGGTTTGGGGGGGCGCGGACCCCTTGCAGCTCTTGTCCTCTCCGGGAGCCTTCTCCGAGTCTCCGTTCGCCAGTTTCTCTATGAGAAGGGGCGCCACGGTGGACAGGAGATGTTAACTACCTCGCCTGGTGTACAGGAGGTCGTGGGTTCGATCCCGGCCCTGACGCCTGCTGTATATTTGGAGTTTGCGTGTCTCTCTCTCATCATCATCATGGTGGCTAGGAGATGTTAACTACCTCGCCTGGTGTACAGGAGGTCGTGGGTTCGATCCCGACCCTGACTCCTGCTGCTGTATATTTGGAGTTTGCGTGCCTCTCTCTCTCTCCCCGTGGTCGCGTGGATTTTTCTCCAGGTCCTCCGGTGTTTCCCTCCACGTTTAGAATCAACGTCACCACGCGTTTAGAGTCTTTGGCTGCGATAAATTTCCACGTGTCGATAAGCCACCTCGCTGAGCTGATCATTTGTGATAGCCAGGTCGCTTCCGGAAAAAAAGCAACACAGCTCAGAGGGGTACAATAAAAAAATCGTTTAGTTTGAGACAAACACCCGCTCGGGGTCCGCGCACTCGCGCAGGTCACTGCGTTGATTTGCGTGCGCAGCGGTTCCCAGCCTTCGGTGCGTGTTCCACACGGGGGTACGCGGCACATCCCGAGGGGAGCTCGCGAGATCATTTACGCAACTGCGGTGGTCACCTTAGGGGGTGCGTGATCGCGCAGGGCTACTCAGCACTCCCGCCATGCACGTGATCGCGCGCGCACATTGGCAATTCTAAAGCGCTACGCTCATCTGTTCGTACGCGTGTACGTTGAACTTCTTTCGCACAGTACGTAGCCAACCGTGCTAATCGGAGGCGCTAGGGGAAGGACAACAAACAAAACTGATCCCGTACCGTACTGGTGCTTCTGCCAGGCCAGCGTGGAGCAGAGCAGAGCCAGGCTCTTTCCGCTGCCGGTTGGGCTCTCCAGCAGGCAGTGCTCCTTGCCGTTGAGGCCACTCATGATCTGCTCTCGCACACAGAGAGAGAGAGAGAGCGGTGAGAGAGCGATTAGCGAGTGGTGAGAGTGGCGAGGAACTGCTTACGTCCAGCGCTCCTGCATGACACCGGGGAATGGCACGGTAGAGAGAGTTAGGAGAGAGCAGTGAGAAAAAGCGGTGAGAGAGAGGTGAGAGGGCGATCAGCGGGTGGTAAGAGTGGCGAGCGAGGGACTGGGTAAGCACGGCATTCATGGGTGACGCTCGGTAATGGTACGGTAGAAAGAGTGCGGAGAGGGGAATGAGAGAGTAGCGGAGAGAGAGCGGCGAGAGAGAGTGCTGAGAGAGAGTGATTAACGAGCGGTGAGGAGTGCGGTGAGCGATTGTTTACGCACGGCGTTCATGAGCGACACTTGCGAAGGGTACGGCACGCACGGGAACTCCACCCTGGTGCCGCCGATCGTGTAGACATTCGCTGCCATCGCCACGGCCTCTGTGGATAAACGTCCCGAAGCGTCGCCGTTACAGACGCCACGCACAACTGCAGGACGCTCTCTTCAACAACCGCATCTTCGAGCAGAAGGAAATCGAGCCTCGTGAAAGTGAGTAAACAAGATTAAACCCCGCAAGTAAAAGCATCGTTGTCGTCGTAATCAAGCATCCCGCAAGGACCTGTACGATCTTTTGTTTGTTTGTGTTCACATGAGCAAATCATCCACAACGCGCGGGCCCCGCCCCCCCGCCATATTCATCAGATGTCGGACGCTGAGCAGCGTTGAGCTTGGATAGTGCTGGGGTGGGGGCTGTCACTGTGCATTTTGATGCCGTGCCTTTGCTTGCATTTAGTGTTGAAAAGTCGGCAAGAATTTGTTACTTGTATACTTTATTTTTTAGTGGCTTGCTTCGCGTCCCTATACTGTGCGCTCCGAGCGGGTTTCTTTTGTGTTGTTGTCGTTGTAACTCGCCCACCCCGTGCCCCGACTGGACATCTGTGAAAAAGAGCTTCATAGCTCATCGGATTCCTCCTGAAAGTCTAAATAAAGATTCTGATTAAATAAGCAGCTGCGCTATGTGGCGAGTAGCAGAGAGGAGTGCTACTAATTCTAAACTAAATTATTTTTTATTTAACCAGGTAAGGCCCCACTGAGCTGTGTAGCTCTTTCTCACAAGCGACCTGGCCCATCACAAACGGTAGCTGCTCAGCAGGGTGGCTCATCATCACGTGGCTATTTAAAGCAACCGCAGAACTCTCAACGCGTGTTTATAAATGTGGAGGGATAAAATCCACGCGACCGCGGGGAGAGAGACACGCAAACATCCAATTCCATTGTTGTACTGTAAGTCTATGCTCCCGCGTCTATGTTCCCCGCCTTCACCAACTTATAGCGACCAGCATGGTGAAGTAGATCAAATAGCCCTCACGACCGGCCCGGCATGCGGAGGCCCTCATCCAGAAGTGGACTGGCCAATTGGCTGTACATGTACAGTACACTACACTTCTACAGTGTGAGCTAGCCCGGGCCAATTGGCAACTCTCCCCAGGCTGCTCAAATGAGCAAAGAGAAGTGCTCAGCTCTGTTGGTGTCGGCGCTCCACGTTCCCACGACGGGGGGGGGGGGGGGGGGCTGTCTTCCCGTGGGACATCCACCGCTGTTTGACATCCCACAAAGTGGCGTTGCATTGCGCGGTCCGCGCAGCCGCGACGGAGGTGACGATGGAGGTGACGGAGGTGACGATGAGCCGACTCGGCCCCTGCGCGGCAACTTGAACTCACGGGGCTTCGCTTGCGAGTCCCACCGTGCTTTGGGCACGCTGCCCTCCGGGCTGATCATATCGCTGCAAGGCAAGGCACAAGCAAGCGCAGCAACATGAACAACGATGGCGATCCAAGATCACGGCGCTCCCCATCATGGCCACTGGAACAAACTTCCCCTGACCCCTCCACATTAAGCAGTCACCTTTCATCACTAGTTTTCGCTCCTCACTCCAAACTCACTCATTGTTCCATAGCTCACCCTACGACCCTCCTATAATCTCCCCGTCATAACCACCACCACCACCACCGTTACTGTTCCCTATTCACATTCTCATTATACAGCTACCACTCATTAACCCATTTAATTCGATCCATTTATCGTCACCGTCATCAATTTCGCTTTCACCAAATTCACGCATCATCATCGCAGATTTTCCCCCATTACTTCTTCTCACCTATTTCATTCACCTCATCGACACCATTACAAACAAGGCACTTTACAAATCGCGTGAAGATAAGATGATCCGTTCGAGACGGTGGTGTACAGCAGCAAAAGCAGTTTATGTTTGGCACAAAGATCCTTTGCTGTCTGTGCGTGACTGATGGTCACGGCCAAAGCGGTTGATCCCAATCACCACGCCTCGCCAACGCTTCCTACCCTCTGCCATAACACAGCACGGTGAAGCGTGACAAGTGCTTATATTCAATCAAATAAATCCAACTACTCTGAACAAGAATCTATGCCTCGAGTTTCCTGGCCGGCTGGCTGCTGGCTGGGCTCCAGTCCACCGCCCCAGCACCAACTCTGCTGCCGTTCGTGACTGCTGGGGCCGTTGCCACAGAAACTACAGCTGGGAAACCGGCGACAAGTTCTTAATTTTTTTTTCCGTGCAATGAATAAACATTGAATTCTAAAGGCGGAAGTCCATAAAACATTTCGTGATTATACGTAATGGATAGCGACACCGACGAGATGGCAGTAGCGAATAGAAAAGACTGATCCCAAGGTCTAATTAAAGTCGCTCTCACTTTTTAATCCGTGCCCCTACTAACGTAATTATTTTGCCGAAATGTATTTAAATCCTATTGAATGTCAAAACAAACCCTCACAATCCATATTATCTTGGCATTGTATTATTACTGATACAAGTAGATGTTACTCTATGTGCTCTGAGTACAGGAGCTTAGTGAGATCAACATGGCAATGACAGCTGTCAATCATTTTCCGTTACAGAACAACAACGGGTTCCCCACTCGTCATCAAAACTAAAATCATGAATCCCCCTCGACAAAGCCTCCCCTTAACCCCCCCCCACCGCCCCCGGCCGACTTTCCATCATGAATCTGTACAAACTGATCACGACTAAATACGTAAAACATTGCTCATCATTCGTGCCAAGTGAGACGGTGCAAACGTCAACTCAGACGAAGCCTGGACAGTCAAAGGGGGAAGTTCACAACGTGAGGTCACAAAGCAGGCCCCAGGGGATGCACACCATGCCCTGGCTTCAATCTCCCGGCCCTGATGCTCATGTGGCCACAAAACCCACGAACCGCATCCGCTGCAACAACCAACAACAACAACCAACAACAACAACACCACCGTTCACCTCGAAGTGGCGGTGACCTCACCACGGCGCTTGTGCCAGGCTAGGTGCACTTTTGAGGCCACGTGAAGTGTCAACACCCCTGGGTGCCATGTGTTGGCCGACTGAGATGACTGGCTGATGCACCAGCAGCTGCGTGCCCCTGACTGTGCCAACAACACTGCACGGACCACGGCAGGGGAAGCAGATGCTGATGTTCATGATGATGCACTGAGGGGAAATTACAAACTCTCTCGACGGGGCAGCGTGCTGAGACTGTGGTCACACCACCCAGACTGTAGTCACACCACGCAGACTGTGGTCACACCACCCAGCCTGTAGTCACACCACCCAGACTGTGGTCACACCACCCAGCCTGTAGTCACACCACCCAGACTGTGGTCACACCACCCAGCCTGTAGTCACACCACCCAGCCTGTGGTCACACCACCCAGACTGTGGTCACACCACGCAGACTGTGGTCACACCACGCAGACTGTGGTCACACCACCCAGCCTGTGGTCACACCACGCAGACTGTGGTCACACCACCCAGACTGTGGTCACACCACCCAGCCTGTGGTCACACCACCCAGCCTGTGGTCACACCACCCAGACTGTGGTCACACCATTCAGACTGTGGTCACACCACCCAGCCTGTGGTCACACCACCCAGACTGTGGTCACACCACCCAGCCTGTGGTCACACCACGCAGACTGTGGTCACACCACGCAGACTGTGGTCACACCACCCAGACTGTGGTCACACCACCCAGACTGTGGTCACACCACCAAGACTGTGGTCACATCACCCAGACTGTGGTCACACCATTCAGACTGTGGTCACACCACCCAGCCTGTAGTCACACCACCCAGCCTGTAGTCACACCACCCAGCCTGTAGTCACACCACCCAGCCTGTAGTCACACCACCCAGACTGTGGTCACACCACCCAGCCTGTGGTCACACCACGCAGACTGTGGTCACACCACGCAGACTGTGGTCACACCACCCAGACTGTGGTCACATCACCCAGACTGTGGTCACACCACCCAGACTGTGGTCACACCACCCAGCCTGTGGTCACACCACCAAGACTGTGGTCACACCACCTAGCCTGTGGTCACACCATTCAGACTGTGGTCACATCACCCAGACTGTGGTCACACCACCCAGCCTGTGGTCACACCACCCAGACTGTGGTCACACCACCCAGACTGTGGTCACACCACTCAGACTGTAGTCACACCACCCAGCCTGTGGTCACACCACCCAGACTGTGGTCACACCACCAAGACTGTGGTCACACCACCCAGCCTGTGGTCACACCACCCAGACTGTGGTCACATCACCCAGACTGTGGTCACACCACCCAGACTGTGGTCACACCACCCAGCCTGTGGTCACACCACCCAGACTGTGGTCACACCACCCAGACTGTAGTCATACCACCCAGACTGTAGTCATACCACCCAGACTGTGGTCACACCACCAAGACTGTGGTCACACCACCCAAACTGTGGTCACACCACCCAGACTGTGGTCACACCATTCAGACTGTGGTCACACCACCCAGACTGTAGTCATACCACCCAGACTGTGGTCACACCATTCAGAGAGGAAGGAGGAGGCATCACAGCAGCGACGATTCACCACTCCGCTACTCCCGACTCCAAACCATCCGGGTTAATCAACCATCAGCTCGATGTTTCTCGACCCACACCGAAACCCAGACTCATAGAGACCCATAGACAGACGCACAGACTCACACTAAACCCCACTCACATGGTGACCTACTGACTCACAAAGAGACCCATTGATCACAGAGGCCCATCGACTCGCATAGAGACCCAGAGACTCACATAGAGAACCATCGACTCACATAGAGACCCATCGACTCACATAGAGACCCATCAACTCACATAGAGACCTATCAACTCACATAGACCCAGAGACTCACAGAGACCCATAGACCCACATAGAGACCCATAGACCCACATAGAGACCCATAGACAGACGCACAGACTCACACTAAACCCCACTCACATCGTGACCTACTGACTCACAAAGAGACCCATTGATCACAGAGGCCCATCGACTCACACAGAGACGCAGAGACTCACATAGACCCAACCCATTGACCCACATAGAGACCCATATAGACCCATAGACTCACATAGAGACCCATCGACTCACATAGAGACCCATAGACCCACATAGAGACCCAGAGACTCACATAGACCCAGAGACTCACATAGAGACCCATCGACTCACATAGAGACCCATAGACTCACATAGAGACCCATAGACCCACATAGAGACCCATCGACTCACATAGAGACCCATAGACCCACATAGAGACCCAGAGACTCACATAGACCCATCGACTCACATAGAGATCCATAGACCCACATAAAGATCCATTGACCCACATAGAGACCCATCGACTCACATAGAGACCCATAGACCCACAGAGACCCATAGACCCACATAGAGATCCATTGACCCACATAGAGACCTATAGACCCACAAAGACCCATAGACCCACATAGAGACCCATAGACCCACATAGAGACCCATTGACCCACATAGAGACCCATCGACTCACAAAGAGACCCATATGAAGGAGGCATCATCACACCGCTAGCTACGCCTGACGCAATCACCTGGCTCCTTCGACCACCTCGATGTAATAACATCAGCAATTGTTGCTTTCTTAACATGCACAAACCGCAGAATCACCGATTCAAACATAATCGATGTAACAACGCACAGCGATGATCGTCGTGGTTGGTGATGATTATCGTGGGATACGGCGTCTCACGGGTTCGCCAGCGCTGATCCCCCCCTCCCAGATCATGGAAGACCCGGGCCCCGAGGTGGTGGGGGGCACGGTGGGTGGCGGAGTGGGGGGCACGGCGAGCTGGGGGGGGGGGGGCAGTTGAGGGGCTCGCGGGAGCGAATTTCGCGTTTGCGCGCGCCACCGTAAACGCGCACGCGCGGCCGTGACGTCACGGCCGGAGAGCCCGACCCAACGAAGTAAAACTTTGTTTTTGTATTTACACAGAGAGACGGATAAGTGCAGGAAACGCGTCGTCCGTTTGCCTTTCTTTTGTTATTTAAAATCTAAATAATTATTGTGTTAAAAAAAACAACACGCACGATAGGGGACGTGACGTCATTAGTTCAGAGTCCCCACCCCCCACCCCCATAGCGGCCCCGTCCCTGAGAGCAGGCGGCCATCTTGTTAAGTTCACTCGAATTCCTCTGTCGTGGACTTAAATGTTTGTAATTATTAAAAGATAATCTTTGATTTTATAAAAATAATTCTTAAAAGATAACAATTAAAAAATAATAACGTCGTACTCAGATTGTAAATGTTGTGGATTTTCTCTCCAACACACCGATGTGCTGCTGAACTAAGGGGCCGTCCGTAAATGACGTCACGCTATTTTGGCCGATTTTTGACCACCCCTCCCCCCCTCGTCACACGACGTCACAAAGAATCAGACCCCCCTCAAATATGACGTCACAAAGCTCTGCCCCCCCCCCCCCCCAAAAAAAACATATTTCCATTTCGAAAATAAAACATGCTTCAAATCATTATAGAATTGAAGCTTTCATGACTGCATAAATCAATATACTCATTGTTTTTTTCGGTAAAGTCAGGTATGAAGAAAATTATATTAAAATAATAATAAATCACGGCGTTTCGAACGCAACACAAGCGATCATCATCAGGTGTAAAACAAATAGTGAGGGAGCACATAGGGGGACATCACGTACGTAGCACATAGAGAACGTTAAACTGTACGGAGGCAAATACAACAAGAAGATGAGAGATGAGAACTCAACAAACCTAAGAAAAATAACGTGATGTAAAACCAGTCGGCCAACAACGCAAATAGACACTGACCTGGTTAACCACGAATTTCAGAAGACTGCTAAATTTCGTTTAGCCACCACAGGGGCTAAACAGGGGCTCTGAACGGGTGCGAGGGGCTGGTAACCCTCCAACCTTCAATTAATTACCACGAAACTACGACTTAAATATGTAACTAATAAGCTTGTGCCGGAGGCCCCGGGGGGACAGGCGTCTATGACGTCTCCTGGCCAAACCCCAATTGGCGGAGCCAGGAGATTGAATCTCTACCCTTGGGGCTCCTTCAGACACAACGAAAAGCCACTTCGTTTGGCCACGTGGCATGTTCGAACGCTCACTGCGGAGGAGAGGCTGCCACCCCTCTGTCGGGAGCTGGACCGGTACTGCCTGGATCTCTGTGGCATTCAGGAGGTCCGGTGGACCGGTTCTGGCTCCTGCCACCATGAGGGGTGGACAGTCCTCTACTCGGGGCAGCAGACTGTCAAACAACAGGGTGTGGCTCTTCTTTTGAACAAAAGAATGAAGGGGGCGTGGGAGCGTGGCGGTGAGGTGTGGGAAGCTGTAAGCCCCAGGCTACTTGGGCTCGCCTTCCCATCAATCGGAGGCGAGGATTGGTGGTCGTGGTTACTTATGCCCCCACCGAAGACGAACATCCGTGGAGGGATGCAGGCAAAGCTGATGAGTCAGATGCCTTCTATGACTTCCTGTCACAGGTGCTGGCTAAAGTGGCCCCTCGGGATAGAGTCATCTTGTTGGGTGACTTCAATGCCCGAGATGGTCATGATGCTGGAATCTGGTCTGGAGTGATTGGAGGGCATGGGCCAGATCAGCTCAAAAACAACGGTAGGAGGCTAGTAGATTTTTGTGCAGCCCATGGGCTTGTTATTACCAACACGCTGTTCCGGCATCGGCGCATCCACACAACATCATGGATGCATGCCGGGTCCAAGCAAGAACATCTGCTGGACTACATAGTTACGGACCAGCGGATGCGAGCCCATATCCTTGACACCAGGACCTACCGTGGAGCTGATCTGTCCTCTGACCATCGACTTGTGATCTGTAAGATGCGCCTGCCATTCTTCCGCTCCGGTGGTGGGTGTACACCCAGGACCCCATTCCAACCAAAAGTAGCCTGGTCTCAGTTATCTGATGAAAGTTGCAAGCGAGAATTTCATCATCGCCTGCGGCTGGGGTTGGCATCGTCCCCCACTCCTCCTGATGTTGAGGGTAAATGGGCGAGGTTTAGGACTGTGACTTATGCAGCTGCAATAGCTGCTTTGGGTACGCGGTCCAGACCTCCCCAGAGACCCTGGCTGACAGAGGAGGTGTTCAGGATGGTTGAGAAAAAGCGACAGGCCCACTGTCATCGGCTACAGAATCCCACGTCAGAGAATGAGGAGGCTTACCGCAGCCTTCGCTCGGAGGTTCGGAGAGCCGTGAGGCGCTGCAAGGATGGGTGGTGGTCGCGGGTTGCTGAGGAGATGGAGTCTGCCTCAGTGGCCCGCGATCACAAATCTCTATTTAACTCCATCAAAAAAGTAACCTGCAGCACCACACCTATTACCATCATTAGGGGAAAAAACGGTGATCCAATCTCCGACCCCCAGGAACGGGTTTGCAGATTTGCTGAGCATTTCTGAGGTCCTGGGGGAGGGAAAATCCCTCAGCCAGGAAAACATCGTGGCACAAAGTGAGGATGACCCTGCTGAGGCTGCGGTGCCTCAAATATTGGAAGAAGACACCCCCGGTGAGTGGCTGGCTGAAGTGCCATCTGTTGAGGAAGTACTGAAGGCGATCCGGAGTCTGAGACCAGGAAAGGCAGCGGGCAGAGATGATCTCCCAAGCGAAATGCTGAGGGAGGGTGGCGTTTGTGCACAGACTGCCCTATATGGCATCATAACAACAGTCTGGACCACTGGACGGGTTCCGCAGGATTGGAAGGATGCCCTGGTGGTCCCCCTCTTTAAGAAGGGGGACCGCACAGACTGTAACAACTACAGGGGCATCTCACTCCTCAGTGTGCCGGGAAAGGTCCTGGCAAGGATTATTCAACATCGCCTTGCCAGGCACGCTGAGGAGAGACTTGCGGAGCCCCAATGCGGTTTCAGGAAAGGGCGGTCCTGCACAGATGCCATATTTTCTGTCCGTCTGCTACAGCAGAGGTGTAGGGAATTCCAGCAAGACCTACATCTCTGCTTTATTGACCTAGTCAAGGCCTATGATACCATCAGTAGGCCTGGGCTCTGGGTTGTTCTTCGTGCTTTTGGAGTCCCTGACCCTCTGCTCACGATCATTAAGGACCTTCATGATGATGAGCGGGCCCGGGTAAAACTAGGTGGCCGGGAGTCAGAGCCATTCCCTGTACACCTTGGGGTGCGACAGGGATGTCCCCTGGCTCTCACATTATTTAACATCTATTTTGACCACGTAATTCGTGAAGCCTTCAATAGCTGTACCAGGGGAATCTCCAAATGGTACAGATATAATGGGAGGCTGATCGATGCCCGGGTGCGGTCAAGGGATAGCTCCCTATTGCTCAACCACGTTATGTATGCCGATGATTTGGTAATAGCTGCTCATTCAGAGGAGGAGTTGGAGATGCTGCTGCTGAGACTGGAGCGTCCCACTAAGAGGTGGGGCCTTACCATCAGCCCCACCAAAACTAAGCACCTGCCTGGGTATTTTGAACCATCGGACACTCCACCCCCACAACTCCCAATCGGTGATGGGGCAGTTGTGGAGAGAGTGGAGAGTTTCCCATACCTGGGCAGTGTGCTTATGACCGGCTCCAGTTTAACAGCAGAGGTCTCACTCCGAATCAGTCGAGCGGCAATATCTTTTCATCGGTTGCATAACGCTGTGTGGAAGCTACCTGGTCTGTCGCTCCGCACTAAGCTTCAGGTCTTCTCGGCCACGGTCATTCACTCCCTTCTCTACGCTTGCGAAACGTGGACCCCCCTGATGGAACATCTTCGCCGGTTAGAATCATTTAGGCTAGTCTGCCTACGATCCATCCTGGGTTTAACCAGGCTGGATTGTGTGAGGAGCTCACAAATCCTTGAAAGATTTGGGCAAGGTCCCATCGGTGAGCTCCTCCAGCGGGCAAGGCTGCGATGGCTGGGTCATGTAGCCCGCATGCCCAGCCACCGCATGCCGAAACAGATTTTGATTGGCCGGATCGAGGGGGCTAAACGGGCGCGGCACGGACTAGAGAAGAGATGGAGTGATGTGGTACAGGAGGACGTGGAGCTGAGTGGACTTGCCGATGACTGGTACCAGCGGTGTCAAGATCGGCCTCTGTGGAGGAGGTTCGTGAAGGACGCTACTGGGCAGTTGGAGGCAGTCGCCCTCCAACAACAACGGAGGGCGGAGGAGCGACGCTCACAACAACAAGCGGAGCGCCGGGTGACTAAAGCACAGCAGGTTGGCACAGTAGGGGGTACAGGTGGTGCATCAGCCAGTCATCTCAGTCAGTCGACCCGTGGTACCTGGGTCTGCACCGTGACCTCCTGCCAGCGGGCGTTCGACACTTCACGTGGCCTCAAGGTACACATGGCCTGGCACAAGCGTCGTGGTGACGTCACCGCCACTTAGTGGCGAATGGCGGTTGTTGTTGTTGTTGTGTGGGGGGAGCGGTAGTGTAGTGGTTAGCGCACTGCGCTACGAACCCAGTGACCCGAGTTCGATTCCCGCTCACGGCCACCACCGGTGATGATTATTTTAACCGGTCCTGGGCCTCCATCGCCACTGGTGAGACAACAGCGGCCGGGCGTGGTGAATCCAAAGCCGGGTAGTAAAGCTAGTTCTGTTATAATTATAAAAGTAATTATAACTATTAAAAAAATACTTTAAACTTTGTAGAAGAACGAAGCAAAACGGAGAGTCCAATTATACAATCACATTCATTCCACAGAATGAAAAGCCCTGGTAGAATCATTAGAATCAAAATGTTTGATAACAATCATTCAAAACATTTACAAAATGTATGCTTCTCCATTCTCCCATGGAGAAGCAAAATGCTCCTTCATGGAATATATAAAAGGTGACCTTAGTAAATTTAAATAATCAAATAGTTAGTAATGAAAATTAATCAACATTAGTGTTGTTATAACAATTCTTATTTA